AAACAAAAGACACTATGGTCTCTTTGATTTGAACCAAACAGGAAGATGGCTGTTTTTGCCATCAGTCTTTTCAGAATCATTTGCTAATATAGAATATCTTTCAGAGACCACCTTTTAAGAAAAGTGCAGCCCTACCGTTGGTACTAATCATTACCCGTCCTCCATTTAACCAGGGGCCAAGCCCATCCCGGACTCCTCAGGTCCTTCCTGAGCCACCAGGTCCAGCTTTGACAACCAAGGCAGCACCCATCAACCGGGGTGCCCAACACTTCACGTGAACGTCTCGTCAGGTCAGGTCAGGCCAGGCACTGATAGTACGTTCATTTCCCAGACGAGGAACAGGGGGGACGGAGGCTCCGAGCAGATGGGCCCTTGGTGCCACGGGGTGCAGCTGAGTCCAAGCTCACCTCTTTGCAGTGCTGTTCCCTCAGCAGGTCTCGGAGGGTGCGGTTGGTCTCCTCAAACGTGCTCAGCTTCTGCAGGAGAAGTTCCTTCTGCCTCGTCAGGGTGTTGATGTCCGTGCAGGTCATTTGTTTCTCCTGGAAGACAGCAGGCAGTCTTACACGGTGCCACGGGAGAAGGGAGGATCCAGGCCCCTTTTAAGAGGTGCCGGTGCCAGGAAGCCCAGGTGAGAAGCCCAGCGCTGTGTACAGGGCCGGAGCGGTCAAGGGCAGGCTTCCCAGAGGAGGTGGGCCTGCAAGGATGGGGCAGGAGCTGAGAACGACAAGGGACAAGGGCCGGGGCGCCCAGCATGGGCAAGTGCAGTTAAGGCAGGCTTCCTGGAAGAAGTGGAGGAGGAGGACGACACCTGGTGGCCGATACTTGCAGGAATCAAACTGTGGCTGACACTTGCAGGAATCAGACTTAGGCCTTGACTCACTGTGATCCCAGGAGACCCATGATGAGGTCAACTCAGAGCCCCTGGCCACCAGAGGTCATCCTCGGGGATCAGGCCCCAGAAGTAAGAGTGGGGGTGGGGCTCGAGGAGTCCAGTGTGCCCTCCCCTGGCCTGGAGATGTCATAAAGTCAGCCTGATGACGGCGTACAGACCCCTCCCCAGCTTGCAGCTTGCCCCTTTCTGGGCCCAGTCCCAGGGCTGAGTGGTTCTCTGCCTGCCACCTACTGTCTTCAGCTTCCCGATGGTGTCCTTCAAGGCCATGACTTGCTTGGCAGCAGCAGCCCCATCCATTTCAGCCTCTACCAACTTGGACATGAGGCACTCCTTCTCCTGCTGGAGGTGTTTCTTCTGAAGCCTGGGGCCAGAGAGAATAGGGCTCTGTGAGCCCTCCCAGGCCGCGGCCCACCCGGAGCTCTGGGCTCGCCTCACAATGCCCCGCGAGGCTCATCTCCTGGCCAGGGGACAGTGGGGGAGGGGGAGGGATGGCCCCTGGGAGGCCACCTGGGCCCCACAGCAGCGCCTTCACATCAGGTGACGTTATGGCATCTGTGGCCCTGCTTGCCTCTTGGTCATTAGCATCATCTCTGTCCCTGGCCATTGCCACAGCCTCGAAGCCACCACCGTCAGATCCGCTTCTGAGCCTCCCATCCACTCTTCACACCGGAGCCAAGCCTGGCCGCACCGCGCCCTGCTTTGAACACCCCTCCACGGCCGCTCAGTGGAAACCCCTTCAAGCGACCGCTAAGAGCGGCCCCTGCCAACCTCCATGGCGCCCCTTGCCCTCTGCCCGCCCCCTCTCCTCCTTCCTGCCTGCCTTCCATTTCTCAGTTGCAAACTCCTCCCTGGGGGCTTTCACTCGAGATCCAGCATCCTTTCTTCCCCAGCACCTACTGCCCACCTCCCCTAAGTACTCTGCAGGACTCTCCCTAAATGTTGCTTTTTCCGGAAAGGCTTCCCTGACCCCGCTGCACTCTATGGGGGTCCTCGTCTCCCCTCACAGCATGAACCACGGGCGCCACAGGGTAGCTAGCCGTGTGACTGCCGGACAGCCGTAAGCCTGGGTATGCTGTGACCCGGAGGCAGCGCCCGGGCCCGCCTGGTGGGAGGAGCACACTTTGGGGCAGGGCTGCCTTACATGGTGAAGTCCTTCTCCTCCTTGATGCGCTCGATGTTGTGCCTCAGCACCGTGTTCTCGTGCTCCGTCTCGGCCAGCTCATGGGCCACCTCCTCCAGCTCCTCCTTCCGCTCCTCCAGGAACCTTTTGGCCATCTGGCGCTCACCTTTCTGCATCTTGACCTGTGCAGGGGCACGCAGGCAGGGGCCACTGAGGGGAGGTTCCTCCTCCGCACATCTCCAGGCCCATCACTTTGGACCAGAGAAGGGCGCCTCCGACTGACAGACACATAGGTCACTTAGGTCCACTTGGCTGCAACCTCAGTTAATCATCACACAGACTCTCTGGGTGGACGCTACTCATCTCGTTTCCTCATGACAGAGAAAACCGAGTACACAGAGCCTAAGTGACTTGCTGGTTGGGGACAGGGCCAGGATACAGAC